GGGGGGGAAGTGGAGGTGGGCAAACCACATTCTCTCACGCTCAGAACACGAATTTTGGGATTGCGGCCTGGACCTAATCTTATTAGTCCTTTTGACCCTCTGGGGGGTCAAACAGAATGTTCAGAAATGAGTCTGTGATCCACTTTGGGCCTTTGAGGGAATATGAATCCCGGGGCCTGTGTGGGAGCAGCCAAGAGGTGTTCTTGGAATGTAGGTGTGTATTCTGCAGGTTCAGGAGAGGGACACCGCAGAATCTTAAGGAAGGAGCCAACACTGGAGACAGCCAGAAACAAGGTCCCTGGTGACCTCACTGGGTCCCTGGTGACCTCACTGGGTCCCTCACAAGGTCCCTGGTGACCTCACTGGGTCCATTGAACTAAGACTTGCATGAAGCTGGACTTTTCTATGTCAGTCAAAAAATTCACTTTATAGTTTAAGGTAGTTTGAGTTAAGTCTTCTGTTATCTGCAACATGAAATGGGGAGAAAAGTTTGTTGGCATAAGAACACACTAAGATCATGCTATGAAACGTGATCAATAGTAAGGGAGAAATTTGTGTCATTCTGAAGACTCTGAAAGACCTGGAGTTCCTTCCAGGTATCTCCAGGATCTCTGGTCTGGTCCCTCTCAGGGCTGGGATCTGGTGTGTGTGTTGGGGGAGAGGAGCATGGAGGGTGTCCATTGGGGCAATGATGAAAATACTTGATGCAAAAGGTCTCAGAGTACTGAGACCACAAAAATAATAGTAAAATAAAAATTAAAAGACTTCCATATGAGGTGGAGTCTATTAACTGACAAGAGATTTAATGAGGAGTATAAAGAAATGTTTTGTACCTTCTCTTGGATCCCATTGTGTTCATAATGTTCACAGTTGTCCATGAGTGAGACTCATGGACAGTATATCAGATATACTGATAGTAACTGTTGTGTATATAGAGAGATACACAGAAAAATATCTGAAGGGTGATCCATTATGTTGATAGTGGGTATTTCATGGTATTGGGATTATGGCCTTTATTTTTATTCCTATTTTATTTTTCAGAATTTTCTATAGTGAATATGACAATTTAAAAACATTTTTCAAGTACAGACACACAAGGTTATATTCACTCTTAAAGGGAAGTCACATGGCTAGCTGCAATCTGGAAGTCAGAAGATGTAGCTCAAAATTGCTTAATTTAAACTCTTACACTTACTATTCAACCTTAATGGCTCCCTTTGCAAAGTTTTGGGACTAAAGGTATATGGAACCTAACTGAGATATTGAGATTTAAATAAGAGGATTTTTTTATTCAAATTAATTATAGGATTCCTACTTTTAGTGGACATTATGGTAATCTCCCCAATATCTATTCCACTGCAGCTCCCCCACTGTGTAGGTTAGATTCTAATTCGACCGAGTTTTTGTTTGTTTGTTTGATTTTTGGTTTGGGGTTTTTTTTGTTTTTTTTTAGAGGTTTGTATATATCTTTTCTCACTCAATAGCTCATGAAGATTTGGAAAGTAAGAGTTGTGCCTTCTGTTATTCCTGTGCCTCACACATTGTAGATGCTCAAAAAGCACGATTGAATAAACAAAAGCTTTTCTCTATATTTCCTTTATTTATTATAACTAGCTATACCTTGGAGTCTTACACTATCACTGCTATACTTGTAAGTAGAGCTCTTTATAGAGACCTGGGACAGCAAATGAGAGTCTAATCAGACTCCTGTTCTAATATTGCCTCTAACCGCACTCAGAACTTCTTTACTAAAATATAGTTAACAAATCTTCTGAATACTGAAGAATGATAGAGAGTTTATTCAAATCTTCAGTGTTTGCTTTGGAATGTGCCAGGGTGGGGAACACGAAGGAAACTTTCATTCAGTTTTAGATCCAGGAAATCAAACTTCTGCCTTCCTATATTCTTGTCTTCCTCCTAACAATGACTCAGAGCCTCAGAGTGTGGCACAGTCAGCATGTTTCTGGGGTGGAGGTCACCAGGCATTGGCCCTGGTGGGACAGTAGGACTGACCAGTCAGTAAGTGGTCAATGGCTTTGCCTTGGACTGAGTTTTTTTAGGAAATCCCATTTATATCACCCATTTTTTTTTCTGTATCCTGCCTGACCTGGGTAAAATTCTCTAACTTCATTTTATGAATTTTGTCAAGTGGCCCTGTAGTTATCTCTTATTTTGTAATTCTAATTACATATAATTCTAATGCTAATGTTTCCATTTGCTTTTGGAGGCTATGTTTAAGG